AGATATATGGCTCGATCACTGGCGCCCATGGTTCTGTAAGGTTAAAATTACGAGAATGATGTAGTTCCATGCACAATTTCTGAGGTCAATATTCTTTTAGAAGATGGTAAACAAAATACTTTGTAATATTTGACGAATGCTATTGAGTTATTTCTATGTTGGACGACATTGGTTGTTCCTAGTGTGAAGTAAGTAGGTACATATATACCTGTTGTATGAATAATGCATCTGTATTGCAGGAAAAGAATACATAAATTATTGAGTTCAGTGTTACTGCCTATGGCTTTCGAAACTGTTTTGGCAAATGAAGCAGAGATACTATTTTGTGGTGAAGACTTAATGATCCTTTAACTTGGTCAAAATAAAGTATTGCAAATGTCAGTCCATCATAATCATCATGATAACTTAAAATAAATAGCACTAATATTTGGTACTTGTTGTATATCATTTAATAGTATTTCTTGAACTGATATAATTATGATTGTGTCAATTTTTAATAAAGGAGTATAATAAATGTTATCTTTTTCAAATCACTATATAAACATTTTAATGGCATTAAACAGCATTGAGTATTTTAAATTCAAAACTTGGATATGTTAAAATATATGAAACAATACCCAGTTTGTTGATCAGACAGGATCAGGGAACTAATTTCTATGAGAAATCCTACAATTCTTCTAACGGCATCCGGACAATTGGAAATTATCGGGCGTGCAAGGCCCATTTAACAATATAAAAACGGCTATAAACTAAAAAAACAGCGTTGGAACACATCCATGCGACAACATTTCTTCTCGCTTCGCTTCGAGTCACCGACATGTGGAACAGCCTCCCTGATAGCATCGTTGACGCTCCGAGTATGAACATCTTCAAGAACAGACTAGACGAAGCTATGCAGGAGCATATGTTTAGTCTTAAAATGCCTAGCAAATTACGGACCACAGACAATAAGTCCAGCAGCTATCTCAATCAATCGTCAGCTATAGAAAGATTGGGTTCCAAAGGCCGGATCCCTTGTGAATCAAGTCACGAAAAGTTGAAGAATCGGCAACAGGCCAGGGGCCTATTTCTTCAGTGCCGACACTTCTATTCTATTCTATTCTATATAACTTAGCCATTTTGAATTTAAAATACTCGATGCTGCTTAATGCCATTAAAATGTTTATATACTGTAGTGGTTTGGAAAAGAAAAAATTTAGTATACTCCTTTATTAAAAATTGACACAATCATAATTATATCAGTTCAAGAAATATTATTAAATAATATACCACAAGTACTAAATGTTAGTGCTATTTATTTTAAGTTATCATGATGATTATGATGAACTGACATTTGTAATAGTTTATTTTGACCAAGTTAAAGGATCACTAAGTTTTCACCACAAAATAGTATTTCTGCTTCATTTTCCAAAACCGTTTCAAAAGCCATAAGTAGTAACACTGAACTCAACAATTAATGTATTCCTGTTCTACAATACACATGCATTATTCATAATATTCATGCTATGGAAACACAGCGCAAATCAAATTATATTATTCCAGTTTTATTAGAACATTCCAGCCAGACCCAGTAGAAGCATCGACATGTTTGAACGAATGTCACAGAAAGCTCGATCGAGTAGAGTTGAGTGCAGCTCCTCTTCTTACTGAGAAAGATGATCAAAATTCGAGGCTGGTCACGAAAAAGTTCCGAAATATTTAACTATTTCGACAAAAACTTTTGTTTAACTTCCAAATTTTCACTCAATAACAGAGATGCGTGAAAAAAATTAATATTATATTTGATCCCCAAAAGATTTGAAATATATATTGACGTCAACGATCTATTTCGCGGTTTCAGTTCGTCATTGCGGTATACCCGCTCAGTAATTAAAGAACTTTCCATGCGACTCAAACCAATTAAAAGAAATATGCTGGTAGGTCTTAACACGAAGTGCTTCATTATAATTAATGGCAGCAAAGTTAGTAAACGCCATGAGCCTATATCAGGCCCAGCAAAAATTTCGCTGACGCTTACACAGCATCAGGCAGAGCCAACACGAAATGTACTGAGCTACATAATGATCTCTTTAACAACCAAACCTACAGATTTTAATTTTTAACATCCGATTTGTTGATGGCTTATTTATTGAGATTAAGCCTATGTAGGATTTTAGGTGTATGTGAATTGACTTATTCATAGATATTCAGTATAATAAGTGGTGGTTATTAAAAATTAAGAAGTTCAATAACTAGATTCAGTCTCAAAGATGACACTTATAGAATACTATTAATTTTAAGCCCTAAATCAAGGTTTTAATAGTTCTTCAAGTTGTGTTGTGATTCCACTGAACAAAAATAATGAAAATTGCAAAAATATTTCTGCCAACAGCGGGTAATGTTGAAGATTTACACTTTACACATAAAATTTTTAACTTGAAAGGTCTTTTTAAAAATTATGGACTGATACATGAACGTATATAAGTATTTAGCAAAAAAAATATATTGAAACATGAAGGTTGTAATCTATAGATTTGGACGAATTATAACGCATATTATATAAAAAAAAACAGGTATTGAACGACACAATTCTGTGTGTTAAGCACAAATCAGGCAATTACACACACTACTCAATTATAGGTTTCATTATCGAGCTCGTATGTTCGAATGACTCATTATGTAAATAACACTAAGTCCGGCACGCGGTCAGAAACTTATTATGCGTGTCCTGAGCAACATCGCAATTGGTGCGTCACTGATGATAGAATCTCAACGCAGCGCGCAGAATTACAGACGAATTTAACAACTTTTAACGCTGACACTTACTTCTTATAAAAAATCGGGACTTGGAAAACTTACGGTAATGAATTTAAGTTACGTATTGCTAAAATATCAAACTTTCGACATTATAATCTCAAACAAAACATCCGTTTACCACGATGAGCTCATAATCTTAATCACTGAATTTATTGTTTCATTGCGTTTGCATTTTTTAGCAATTGACGTTTAATTGTTATTTTAGTAATTGACGAGCTAATTGTTTTTAGTAATTGACGAGTTAATTAGTAGTTGACTGAATTCTTATGACTTCTCTAAGAAAAAGTTCGTTTGACATGTCTTTCAAAACGTGGCTACAAGAAAGGAAGGAAGGAAGGTAGGGAGTGAGGGAGGGGGGAAGGGAGGGAGGGAGGGGCAGCCAGAGATTGATAAATGCGCGTTGATTGGCGCCGCGCGGGCGGCGACCTGCGGGTCACAGGGCGGCCAGAAGGTGGCCACAGTAAACGATCAACTCAGCTCATGAAAATGCTTAAATAGTCTTAATTTAATATCTATCAGTGAATTTGATTTTCATGCAGCAACATTCAAATTTTTAGCGTCGTCAAGACTTGAAAAAAATTATTGTGTTGACGCATTCTTCCAAGGAGCATATTCAGTGTAATGTTGGTTAAAATCAATAAGATAAATAAGCTAAATTAGGGCGTTATGCAGGCGAAAAACTTTATTCATAAGAAATGGAGGGGTAACCGCACTCGTTCCACTATCCGGTAAACCTGGCACAATAACCTGCCGTAATATCCTGACGTGTTAGCCTGGCACAATAACCTGCCGTAATATCCTGACGTGTTAGCCTGGCGTAATAACCTGCCGTAATACTTTATTCATAAGAAATGTAGGGTTAACCGGACTCGTTCCACTACCCGGTTAGCGTGGCACAATAACCTGCCGTAATATCCTGACGTGTTAGCCTGGCGTAATAACCTGCCGTAAAATCCTGACGTGTTAGCCTGGCGTAATAACCTGCCGTAAAATCCTGACGTGTAAGCCTGGCACAATAACCTGCCGTAATATCCTGACGTGTTAGCCAGGCACAATAACCTGCCGTAATATCCTGACGTGTTAGCCTGGCGTAATAGCCTGCCGTAAAATCCTGACGTGTTAGCCTGGCACAATAACCTGCCGTAATATCCTGACGTGTTAGCCTGGCGTAATAGCCTNTGTAGGAGTTATGAGTCCTTCGGTTGCATAAAAAATATGTTTATTAGTTTTAATTGAAAACTAATTTATGTAAAAATCTGAAATAATTCCTGCCGCAGCGTATCGATAATAACTACTTATATTCCAAAATTCAAGCAAATCAGTTCAGTATTATAGAAGTTATGAGTCCTTCGGTTGCATAAAAAATACGTTTATTAATTTTAATTGAAAACTAATTTATGTAAAAATCTATAATAATTCCTGCCGCAGCGTATCAATAATAACTACTTATATTCCAAAATTCAAGCAAATCCGTTTAGTATTGTAGGAGTTATGAGTCCTTCGGTTGAGCTGAGTCCGCAGGCGAGTTCGCAGGCGAGTCCGCAAAAGTGTCGATTCAGTTTGTGAACACCGGATTTGCGAACTAAGATCGGGATCTACCAGGAGAAAAAAAAATCAAGATTCAACAACTACAATATCATGCAAACAAATTGTTTTGCTCAACATATAATGTGATGCCCAAGCTCGTAGTAACGCTGTCAGTGGCGTGGATTTAGATTACTAGATCATTTTTATAGAAAAAAACATTTGTCGATTGATATAAGAGGAAATAGACTCCAACATCTGAAAGATAACCTTACACTTTAGCATAAATACGCTGAATTTTTACTTAAAACAAGATTTCTGTGAGAATTTGCTGCGCAATACTTGAAATTTGTCCCGAAAATTTGTTAATTTTTAATCAATACATATAAAGGGTTGAACCAAAGAAATGCTTGATCGATAGTATTTGCACATCTAGCAAATGTCCACAACAGGGTAAGTGAGAAGACGCAGCTCTACAAGCATATATACTTTTATCCAGACAAAATTCTTTATTTAAAATCCGAGAATGACAGATAACCTAGGAGACGGTTACTTCCACAGGTGCTCAGGAGGCGGAGCTCGGTTACGAAGAACTGGCCTATCATTGGCTTGCACCTTTTGCATTTCCAGTAGAAATGGCATCAGTCATTCAGTCGTGGGTCAGACAGTCGTGACTAGAACGTCGTGGTGATGAGTAGCAGCGAACTGTGGGTCCGAGTGCTTTCAGTGCCTCATAAAAATGTATTCTACGTTTGAGTCATATAATTCGGAAAAACTTAAACGTGCGCTTGATCGTTAAACAAAATAACTCGTGTCTGTAAATTTTGTACATGCATCGAAGTATATTTTCATCAAGAAACTATAGCATTATTATTAAACTAAGTCTGTGATTATTTTAACGGAACCAAAACTGCCTCTCACATCGGTCTCTAAGTTCAAGTACACGTGTTTCATATTAACTTAATAAGCCGAGATCATGTGTCAAATAAAGAGACTACGTTGGGACAGAACGATTTTAAGCTTTTTGCTGATTGTCGCCTTCACTAATGGGACTAATACTGGTAAGAAAGAGTTTACTTATGAGAAATGAGCGCGTTAATTGTTCACATTTCCTAGTGTATATGAGTGTAACTAGGACACAAAAATTAGCAGCATTAGAAAGAAATGTTTAATTAATATTGGTAAAATTAGATATAGTAAAATTAATTGCTTATGTATGTATATGCAAGAGACATCGCATATTTATTCTTCAATAATTTTTCTTGAAACGTCAGGCTTGCACAAGTATATACAGCACAAAACGTCATTTGCATGCACCAGTACAGCACAAAACATCAGGCGTGCACCAGTACAGCACAAAACGTCATTTGCATGCACCAGTACAGCACAAAACGTCAGGCGTGCACCAGTACAGCACAAAACATTAGGCGTGCACCAGTACAGCACAAAATATTAGGCGTGCACCAGTACAGCACAAAACGTCATTTGCATGCACCAGTACAGCACAAAACATTAGGCGTGCACCAGTACAGCACAAAACGTCAGGCGTGCACCAGTACAGCACAAAACGTCAGGCGTGCACCAGTACAGCACAAAACGTCAGGCGTGCACCAGTACAGCACAAAACGTCAGGCGTGCACCAGTACAGCACAAAACGTCAGGCATGCACCAGTACAGCACAAAACGTCAGGCGTGCACCAGTACAGCACAAAACGTCAGGCATGCACCACTACAGCACAAAACGTCAGGCATGCACCAGTACAGCACAAAACATCAGGCGTGCACCACTACAGCACAAAACGTCAGGCATGCACCAGTATAGCACAGAACGTCAGGCGCTCACAACTACAAGTTATATCTCTAAAAGACATTCATAGATATGATGTAATTGTGTGTGATTAGAGGCTGGCTTGAGAGTTCACTTTCCATTGTTTGGGTGACGGCGAAACATGTTATCGTAAATTTTAAAAGTGTTAAACGTTATGTTGATAATGATAATTGGACGTATGTCTTCTTACGAGAGAAGAGCAATTCATGAGTGACTACAGAAACTTGATACATCGTTGAAATTAATAAGTAAAATTAATTTAAACTTTGAAGACTTTACCGCTGTTTTTGTTAAAGCGCATCTCCCGTGTGCTTAGCCTTAAAATTTGCACGAAAAGATGAATTTAGTTAGGACATTCATGCATCTTCCTCAGCAAACATCTTCCTATAAGCACAGCCCACTGCATTAATCTCTGTAGCCGCTGCCTTGATTCAACAGGAGCCTTTAGCGGCTTGGGCGAGCTTGTGAAGCTAGTGAACGATTTTATTTAGCGAGAAGTTCATAGGAAGGCAATGTGATGCCGAGACTTCGCATTGATTACCTTTACAACAGCCGCGGTGGCGGGAGCCAGATCTTTTAGGCGAGTTAATTGTACGGGACGTAAGAGAAGATGGTATCCTATTGCATTGGCTGACCTCCGCGGTCAGGTCACGGTTTATTGATAAAGTTGGCCTTCGAAAACCTTTAAATCAGGGCACAATAGGGTTTCGTAGTTGCATGTAAAATAATAAAAATAAACAGTAGGATGAAACGTATTAATTAGTATATATGATATTGACCAATATTCTTGCTGTTTTTGTCGAGCGTTTACCAAGAGCCCTGCGAGAGTTTTTTTGCTCTGCAATGATTCAAATTGGCACGAAAGTGCGTTAACAAACGGGAAAGTTGTTTATGATTGTTATTCGTCAGTTCTATAACTTAATCATAATGACATTGCTATTAATGGCGAAAATTTTCTTATACATACCTGGAAAAACTAATTAAATTTATTTTAGAACATTATCGTTCTTTTTCTGAAGCGTCAAGCAAAGAACTGCCAAAACAACAATTGTTACGAATGCTCTCCTTCTCCCGGAACTCTACTTAATGAATACCAGAAATTCTCTATATCAAAATATATGAATTTCGTCAACCTAAAAGCTTTGCTGTCTTTGTTGAGTATTTATAAATAACTTTTCGATTGATCATTTTCGTATTGTAAGCTAACTAATCAAATCTGTTGTTCTGGTGCTACCAACGACCATGTGTGAGAGAAACTCCTTATGGTCAATAGCGGACTAATCAATGAGCAGCGCTGTGGCTCGGCGCGCCTAGGCGCACGATGTCAAGTGCGCGCGGATCGATTTTCCTGGTGTCTGTATTCCGGAGTCAATCCTATCATACGTCAGAGCTGGAAACGTACGAATAGGGACAATATCAGCTTTTTCCGGAATTATTCTTTCTTCTACACGGGGGAAAGTTCGAGGCAAATAACTTATGGGTCATTCATGATATTTGCTTGCAATTAAAACTGGAATCATAAAATTGACGCCGTAGAAATTATTCTCCATTAGACTCAACCAATGGACTCATACAAACAAAAGAGACCATAATATCCTTCACTAGAACTAGTTTACTCGGCATTTTCGTAATAATTTTTTATATGAAGAGATGTAGCCTATTATGTTAGCCAAGAGTCTAATATGTAAGGAGACGTGGCCAATCATTTTAGTCCAGATAGTCTTAAGTCTGCTGGTCTCGGCTCATTTCTCCGGTGTCCAGGCTAACAGGAAGTTTGGGTGACCAGTGAAGCTACACAGATGCCAGCAACACAGCCTTGATAAATCACGAAGCTCGGAACTAACTAAGCTTTCTTCTTTACGTCGCCCGACCATAGAACGGTTACAAATGCGGTGACGCCGCATATGATGTAATATGTTTGTATAGAAGCGATCTCATAAGCGAGACTTGAAAAATGTTACTGAAAATGAAATTATGATCAGCAACTTCATGAGACGGCAACCTGTTCTGTTTTGTCTCGTCGGTAACCTGTTCATTTTAAATCTGGAAATATAAGATTAGCAAATTAATTAATAAACTTACTTTTGGAAACCAGCAAACTTTTATTCTATATGAATTTGTTTATACGGAATAAAAATTTATTCTGTATGAATTAATTTTATGAAACCGCTGAACACAGAAACATTGCAACAAGGACAGACTAGATGGCGACCTACACATGTAACTAATCACTTAATATTATATCGAAAACAAGACTGACATGAACTCAACCTATAGTCATAGTTCCATAAGTTCACTCCTACCGAACCCTGTCCGCAGTACCAGTTTTGTCACGCGGAAGAAGCTTGCGCGCGCATTCACGAGTCCGAAGAATCCCGCGGTCGATGGGTGCAGCGTGTCCTGATTCTGACGAACAGCCGTGACTCAAACGCTCGCCACCAGGGGGTCAAACAGGACGTTGGTGCGAGGCAAAAACGGACAGGAGATGCCCCCTCTTGATGAATTTGTTCGCTTGCTCGGATGTTTTCGTCATGTGAGGATAAGGTAGTGGGGTGGACCACAGGTCTGAGGGCAAATATGTTCTGCTGTTATCGCGTCCGCGCACTCGGGCGCTCTTCAAACTGTTCACACTGTCAGTGGATAATGACCAGAAACACCATGTTTTATATAGTTGCTTCAGTAAAGAATTACTCTCCTCAGCTGTTATAGTAAAGATTTATACTCGGCTGTTTTCACTTTCTCTTTGCAGAAATATAATGCATCCCATGATCTTGGTGCGAATCTATACTATCGTTGAATCTAGTAGTGATTTGATGGAGGGCTTTCAATTAGGTACTGTCTGCTTGCCAAAAGTGAATGATTGTATTTGCAATGTTGCCCATTCTCAAAATATTTCTTGCAAAAATTTATAGAGGTCGGGATTATTCATGAAAAAGAATTTGTATTCTCAAACAGCACCTCGACTATGTTTAGAATTTGCGGTAAAAAAGCTTGTGAACAGACAATGAATTATGAGGCGCGGGTAGTAAAAGCGTAAAGTTTATTTAAATAATGACGATGAAGCTGCACTGGGTCACAAAAAGTACGTTAAATCAGTTTTTCTGATGACAATGCGTCGCGTTTCGTCAATGAACAATGAACATCCTCGATGACGCATCCTTGGTCATCCACCATATGAGTTCCGTACTTAAGAGTAGGGCGTGTGGAGTCTGTGGACGTGTGGGAGGTGCATACATCTAACAGATCGATTCACTGCGTAGAATGTAGTCTACATGAGCAAGACATTTAATTGACCTTTGCAGTGTCTCATTCTTCGTAACAATTCTTTCGTAACAATTCTTCATGAGCACAATACGAGATTAGCACAATGCATGGGGAAAGTTAAAACTAAAAAATTGCGATGGAAAAATTCGAAAGCATTGTACACGTCTTAGCTCACAACAATTAAAGCCTGGATCATAACGTGAACATCCACAAACGTCGCAAGCGAGAGATCGTTGCCTGCTCGCCGCCCATCTCGACGCGGCCTTGAGAGTTGCTATTGGATCGGTCACACGTCCAGACTACAGTTCGTATCGACCGCATCACGCTCACTGAAGTGTCACAATGACTAAAAATTGAATTCATTTGGTATTTTTATTCTAACCATTCTATTAGGTGTCAAATGACACTATTCTGTCAGACATGTTTTTTATTTGATTTTGACATTTGTTGATCATCCGTTGAAATAACTCAAAGAGTGCGCTAACGGGAAATAACCTTTCCGTATGTTTATCCATTCACTCATTGCTAATTTATTTCATTTTGAATGTCCTTATAATTGAAAATAGTTGTCTCGTAAAAGTCGTAAGAATATTTTCACATGGACCGCCTCTGTCCAGCGGTGTACTTCCCGCCATGACAACAGCATCGAACTTGTGATTGATGTATATACGCTTGCCGCAACTTTCAGTCTCGGCAAAAGTTTGGTCGTACAAACGCAATATAGCAATTTTTTACTCGTAATTTGGGGTCATTTCGATACGGCGACCTGAAAACGCTCGCACATACAACTTGTTGCCGCTGGAGCGCTCGTCATCGATTAAGGCAATCAGCGAAGTTTCGAGTCGTCCGCTGATTAGCTGCACGACAACTGAACATTTTATTTAATCTAGAAAGTGACAGCATTTATGCATGGTTGAACTATACTAGTTCAACCATGGCATTCATGTACCCATACATAGTGTAGTTAGT